GGAGGGGGAGTCCCGGTGTGGGGCTGCCGAGCCGTGCCCCCCACTCGGGGCTGCCCCGGGGGGTGCTGGCCCATCCAAGGGACGGTGCTGCCCCCCCCAGCAAGGCTGGCCCCGTGCTGCCCCGCCACCCCAGCACGGCGAGGGGCTCAGCAGCGCCGTGGGGCCGGTGGGGAGCGTGGCTTTGGGGGGCGGCAGCGTGGGCCCCTCCAGGGCCCTTCCTGGGTGACGGCTCACAGGGATGGGGGTGCTGGGGGGCAGGAGCCGCGGGGGCAGAGGTGTCTGTGCTGCAGGGTGGCCGCGGGGACACCCAGTGCGTGGGCACATGGCTCCGGGCGTCACCGTGAGGTCCTCCTGGGGGACACCTGGCTCCAGGCGTTTTGGGGTAACTCACAGATCTGGGCATCTCGCGGTGTGTCCCGGGGTAGCCCACAGCTCCAGGTGTCCCAACGGTGACACACTTGCAGCTGGAGGCTGCTGGGGGGGTGTCAGCAGTGTGCAGCGATGCCAGGGTCTGCAGAGAGCCTGGGGGGCACAGGGCTCCCCTGGGGCGCGGGGGGAGCCGGGCAGCAGCAGCCGATGGCCCTGGCAGGGGCTGGCTGGGGTGGGCAGGGCAGGGGGTGGCCGTGCCCTGGGCACCCTGGGGTGAGAGGTTCAGGGGACTGTGCCATGAGGGTGTGATGGGGCAGGACACAGAGCTGTGCTGCAGTGTGGGGGGCCAGCAGGGAGAGCCCCCCAGTGCCAGAGCAGAGCTGCCAGCACCGCTGTGGCAGCAGTGACAGCCCTTGCCCGGCTGGCAAGTGCTGTGGGCACTGACGTGCTGGCGCTGGGCCAGTCAGGGGTCCCCGGCAGGAGTCCCATGGCCAGCCAGCCGTGGCCCCGCACCCCCTTCCCAGACTGTCCTTCCAGCCCGGCCGTGCAGTTCCCACCCCTCCTTCTGCCCCCGAGCGCTGCCATCTGCCCGCCCGGGCCACCCAGCCCCTGGCAGCCCAGCGAGCCATCGCCGTGTCCCCAGAGCACCCCCCAGAGCTGTCCCCGAGAGTGCCCCCGAGCCCCCGCAGCGCTTGGCCCCGCAGCTGCCCGCTCTGCTGGCCCTGGGCAACCCGGAGGGGCTGTGGTGGGGGGGCACTGGTAGGGGCTGTGCCCTTGCCCCATGGTCTCTGCCACCCCAGGCCACAGCCCGGCAGCCCCCCGTGGAGGCAGACCGCTGCCAAGGGGGGGCCGCAGCCCCCACCACCCGGCTGGCAGCCCCCTGTGGTGCCAGGGAGGGCGGCCTGTGTGTGGGGGCACAGGGGAACACGGTGCATCGCCCCACCGGGCACCCAGCGCCCGTCACCCCTCTGCCCGGTGCCCCCTCACGCGGGGCTGCCTGTGGGCAGGGGTGCACGCGTGGACAGCCCCCCCCCCCAGGTCCCTGCTCATCTGGCTGGGCTCTGGGAGTCCCCAGCCCGCTGGAGCCGGACCCCTCCCGGGACACGTCGCTCCCTGGAGCTCAGCCCTCCGCAGGCAGCCCTGCCAGCCCCCGGGGACCCTCCCTGGGCCAGCGGCGCTGGGGGGAGGCTGGTCTGGCAGCGGCCCGGGGCGTGCGGACTGGGCTGCGGCCAGGGATGGGCTCCTTTGTCTGAGGCAGCCCTGTCCCGGGAGGTGCCACATGGCGCTGGGCGGGGGGAGGCCGCGCTGCCGTGACCTCGTCCCTTCAACAGCCGCGGTCACTGGGCGGCTCTGACCGCGGGGCCGGGCGAGGGCAACCCGGGGGGGGCACACACACACACACACAGCACCACCCGCTGCCACGCTGCGGGGCAGCCCCCGTGTGGCTACGGGGCTGCTGTGGGGGGGGCAGTGGGAGCGGGGGCACCCCAGATCCCCGCGCTGCCCCGGCCCCCCCCGCGGCTGTCAGCCCCTCGGGCTGCTGCTCTGGTTAATGTTAAAGCCCGTCGGACGTCAGCGCGCCCGGCCCTGCCCCCTCCCAGCCCCACTGCCCGGCGGCTGCTCCCGCGGGAATTGTTTTTCCTCCCGGAGCGGGATCTGCCCGTCCCTTGTGGCTAAAAAAAGCCACGGGCTCGGCCCGTGCCAGAGGGACAGCAAAGCTCCGGGCACCAGCAGCCTCCCGCCCCCCCC